GGGGGGGGGGGGGGGGGGGGGGGGGGGGGGGGGGGGGGGGGGGGGGGGGGGGGGGGGGGGGGGGGGGGGGGGGGGGGGGGGGGGGGGGGGGGGGGGTAACTAAGGGGTAGGTACTGGTAAGATAGTGAATTTGTCGTGTACAGGAAGATTAATACAGTAGCAAATTAATTTAGTAATTTGTATGTACCGTTTTTTCAAAATCCAAATTACACTGGGACAATTTACAATGTTATTGACTTGAAACAATTAAGCTTTTATCATGCCGTGCAAAGACCAGGTATTTCACGACTCGGGGGGATCTAGAGTGCGTGTTCGTTTTCTAACGGACGGATACAACAAACCTTGAAGACTTCTTTTCCAATGGTTCCATTCAAATGTACAGCCTTGGATTTGTAGCCGAGATTGTCTTTGCCGAAAATCCCCACAACACACACCTTGTCGTCCACACAGCTAAGAAAAACAAGAAAATTGAACTTTATAAAGCAACGTAGATTTTTTCAATCCTTTCTTTACAACGTGTCAATATGCCAAACCTTTCGGAAGAATTGATTAAATATTGAAAAAACTCCACACTCGCTCTTTTCGCCCCGTTGTCCGCCATGTTGTTTTTTCGGATAGCTCGGTAACCTCTCCCTCAGCTTGGTAGCCTTTCCTTTTCTTACGTCATTTCTGCAGGCTCTTGCAAGACACGTGAGGAAGGCAAGATGGCTGACAAGTTCACAGAGTTTGCTGGTCGAATGGGAAAGGCTCCGAAAGGAGTCGGAACTGGATTAAAACTTCTAGTAGCAGCTGCTGCAGCTGCCTATGGAATCAAGGAGTCTATTTATACAGGTATCATTCCATCGTCTGCATTTTTTGCTACGTTAGAAAATTAGGAAATCGAAAATCGATATGGTGTTCCACGAATTGGAAATCATTCGATCAAGGCTTTTAAGAGTCTAATCTTGATATAGCTAACCTATATTTTTGATGTTATTGTATAGAAGAAGTGATGTATACCCATGTCCTGTGTGCATGGTTCTTTTGACAGGCTACATTACATACAAAATGCGATTATATGAAAAAAGTTATTCACATGTGCACTGCAAGTAAACTTAAGCTTATGTCACACGACAATCATATTGCATCGAGCACAAAGTTATTCCATGAATACTTTTCTTTTTCCAGATTTTATAAAGCTCTGGGTAATTCTGCCGAAATAACCATCATTTCTTCAACTTTTTTTAATATCTGTCATTCGTTTTTTTAACCCACATTTCCATTTATATCCGCCCCCTCCCCTCCCCTTGCCTAATGTTTGAAACTCTCAGATTGCCTTTCAAACTGTTGACTTGTTCACAAATACCCAATCCATACTTTTGCTTGGATATGTTGAAAAAAAAATGTAGGTTTAAGTATATTATGATAGAGAAAAATGTTGTTGATTTGTAGTGTGGGTGTGGTGTGCGGCCAAACTGTAATAGGCTCCCTACTCAAAATAAAAAATTAAGAATATTTGAGACTTTTTTTTCAGGGCAAAGAAGGTAGCTGTAATTATTTAATGAAGTTCAAGTTGTTATGCTGCCTACGTGTAGCTAGCTCTGTAATGGTCATAAAGCAAGTTTCACTGGGCCGTATTGCTAAGTTGCACTGGACATTGTGATACCCTACCATTTAAAGTGCAATGCACCATCCTACCCTGTCTTAAGTTTTACTGTGCTATACCTTAACATACAGTATTTACCTTTATTTGCATACCACATCATACAGTCCTGTACTGCTAGATGGCGTGTGCTGCACCATTGTGTTCTCTTCAAAAAAATCATTTTCTTTTCACAGTTGATGGTGGTCATAGGGCGATTATATTCAGCAGAATTGGAGGCATCCAAAATAATATTTACACTGAAGGCCTTCATTTCAGGTATGCTGTATAGTACATAGTGTTTAGTGTTACATGTTCACCATCCTTAGTTTTTCCAAGGTGTTTGTTACATACATGTAATACGAAAAAAAAAATGGATCCATGAGTGTGGTGTGAGGTGTGAAGTGCAGATTGGGGGAATAAGAGGGGCTTCGTCATAGGTAAACAAAACATATGTGAATCATTTTTAACCTTTTTTTGTCTTGTTGTATTGCAGAATACCATGGTTTCATTATCCTATAGTTTATGACATCANCCGTATTGACCTCGCTATCGCTCGGTCAATACGGCAAGACCTCAGTTTGAGATTTTCCCGTAACGACCTCACTCTCGGTTATTAAGTAGTTATTATTAAAATCTTTTTCACCCAATGGAGCTTCTAGCGGGAGTGAAGCGGGACCAATCGAGACCAAGCGGGACGCGTCGGTTGCTAGATCCAGTCTTTACTCTTCCATAGGATGACTCATTCACCACCACAACCATGCTCACATAGTTACTGACGACGCAAAGAATTTCTTCGAAGCGCTTCCCGCATGTGTAGTTTATATTACTGGCTTCGTCTGTGGAATTATACATGATAGGATAACCCACAGATTTCCATCAAATGTAGCTGAAGCGTCCATAGTCAAATGCAGCTGTTTTGGTCAAAATAACCGGGGGAAAGCGTGTTCTATCGGCCACGAACGAAGCACGAAAGATCTTCTTTGAGATACTTAAAGTAAACGTACACGTGAATTTACCACCATTGTGTGGAAAAATGCCTTTAGAATCCTATACCATTGGGAAAGTAATCGGAAAAGGAAGCTATGGAGAGGTTTGCCTGGTTAAACATCGAAAGGATAGAAAACAGGTGAGCTTTTATTCAGTCCTAGAAAAGGTTTAGTGGGTTTTGATTTCAGTGGCTTATAGCTTGTATAAACTTTAATAAGCTTACATGCATTTTCACACTGTTCTGTTGATTTGTTTTCTTGTTACTTGCAGTATGTCATGAAAAAGGTCGATCTTTCGAAAGCGTCGTCTAAAGAAAGAATAGCTGCTGAGCAAGAGGTAAAGATCGACTTCATTGTTTTGTAGTTTGGCATAGGTCACTTAACCTTAATAAACTACCCGGGATAAACTAGTAGTGAATTTGTAAGTTTTGGTGAAGAATTAAACTATAATGGCCTGGTTAAGGGAGCTGTCTCTGTGACAGGGGTTCCTGTGCCAGGCTTGCTTGCAATTATGGGGAGTAATCTAGTCTGGGGCAGTAAAATCTTTGCTGAGAATTACATGTAAGAACTGTTTACATACTGGCTCCCACACTGACATTTACATGATGCAACAATTGTGTTGTTCGAGAAAATATCCATACCCCTCCCATGGAAGGTTTTTTAGTTTGACCCCCCCCCCCCTCTCCACCCCTCTGGAAATTCCAGTTTACCGTCATACTTTCCTTTAAAAAATTGGGCTTTTGAGACCCCCCTCTCCCTTGGAATTTCTATTAACTTTCTTTGGGGTGGGTATGGATATTTTCTGGAACTGCACATTATTACATGTTTATACAGCTTTTTTTGTACAATTACACAAAATTATACACTTTCCTGTACGTTCCCTCTGTCTCTCTAAACTCTCTTGTATATCATCTTTCTTGGATATTCTTGCGCAAAACCAACAAATAATTTGCGTATGTTTTGAAATTTTGGCACCCTTACCTCTTTTTCAGCTGGCTAAGGCCTTTCAGGTAGTCTTGGCCTTTGCGGTATTGCGGTATTGGACAGTTTTTCTTGTGGTATTTTGGTAATTTAATCTTCAAATGCGGTATTGTGGTATTCTCCGAACCTGCAGGATGCAATTTAGAATTTTGAACGGTATCAAAAATTATCCTCCTAGTCCTCCAACATTTTCTGAGCCTTTTCCAGTTTTCGATTGGACATTCCCGATGAAACTTAGCTCTTGTGGTAATGGTAAACTGCAATCCCTTGTGTCGCTATCGTAAAAGGGTATGTTATGTGGTGTTAATTATTAACCAACATGCCAATGGATGTTACTTATTTTGCCTAAATTGAAAACTACCTGACCTAACATTCATTAACAAATTCTGAATTGTTATTTCCAGTTTATTTGCTCTAAACTTTAACATGCAGAGTAGTGATTTGGTATGACACCACATTTCCACTTGGTATTGAAGTATTGGGGTATTTAGCGATTTTTTTTTTTTCCGTAGTATTGAGGTATTTGCCAAATTTTTTTGCGGTATTGCGGTGTTCAGAACCCCCCAATGTCCCCCTCGTAGTAGCATATACCAATCTCCTTCCAGAGCCTGTGCATTTTTGGTCAGCACTGGCTGAATGCCCTGCACTCTGAGCAAAAGAAAAATAGCTTGAGCCAGAAAGTCTCGTTTCTGGTTTGATTGTGGGCGTGCATTGGATTCTGAATGTTTGAAGAGAGGGCAACCACCATGATTATTGCTTACTCACCTTCTGATTTTGCCCAGAGGTCCTAATTCTTGGTGCTGACCAATAGCATCCTGTCCTCTGGGGACAAGATTGAACAGCATAACTGAATGAAATATATTCAGATTTCAAAAATCAAGTGGTGGTCACTAATTTGTTAGGCTGTGCATATGTGCCAAAATTTAAAGGTGCCAATCTCAAACTAAATTTCATGTAATTTTACGGGGCTTTTACAAGCTCAGGGCACACATGCTGGACGCATTGCTCCAGCAGGGAAGGAAAATCAAGGAAAAAGGTATAGGGAGTCTGTGTGAATAGTTACGAAGTTAATTAACTTCCGAAAGGGTTCTTTCATCAGTGAACACAGATGAATAAGTGCCAGTGATAGTTTGAGCATGTTTATTACTTTGCAGGCGCAGTTGTTATCCCAGTTGCGTCATCCCAACATTGTTTCATACCGAGAGTCATTCCAAGATGAAAAAGGATTTCTCCACATTGTAATGAACTTTTGTGAGGGAGGTGATTTGTACACAAAGCTAAAAGCACATTCAAAAGATGGAAAAATTCTGGAAGAGACACAAGTTGTTGAGTGGTTTGTTCAAATTGCAATGGCATTACAGGTAAACAGTAGACTAATTTGGTAAAGGTTACAGTCTCAGTTAAAGCATTATAGGTGGTTTATCATTTCATTTTGTGTCAGTATTTTCATTACATAAATGCCAGTTATGGCAGTAGTCTGGGGTCTTGCAGTAGACTGAAATTAGGGCATGCCAATTTTCCTTGGTAAGTCTCGATTCCTCTGAGATACTACGCATGGTTGTGTTATTTGGTGCATTTCTTCAGGTGTTTTTACTAGCCCAGATGGTACTAAAGTGAAGTTTCCACTCTACCCCATCTATATAAGATCCTAGTTCACTGAAGGTTGCTGGCCCCCCTTCTTACATTTTTCTGGGTTGTCCTGACAGTTTACATAACCAGTTGATGTCCTTTTGCAGCACATGCAGGCAGAGAAACTCTCAGACATCCCCTAGTTCACATGTAATCAGTTAATTTCTATTGTCTCCTGCAAATTTATTGAGCTTACTCTATTTAAGATAATTATTGCTGGCAGTTAGTAGCCATGAGATAGTTTGAGGCATACCTGATGGACTCATTGCTGTTTTGATATCTTACATTTCCTTTTCAGTATATTCATGACAGGAATGTTCTTCATAGGGATTTGAAGACTCAAAATATATTTCTGACAAAGAGCAACATTATTAAAGTAAGTTACATGACTTGTATGATCTAGGAAACACCAAGAGTTTTAAAGTTCATCTGAAAATTCTACAGGTCACAATATTTGGAGGTTGAAGATAAATTCCATCTATTATTTCAACTTTGTCATGGGAATCAGTGCCATGTTGCTTAGACTCCCTAACGTCTTCATGTAGTGCTCAGTTGTTATTATACTGATTTAAGACAGGTAGTGTCCACTGATAATTTGTTCAGATAAATCATACTATGCAAAAGATGCAATTAATATGTACATTGTCCTTCTTGTACTGCTAGGTTGGTGATCTTGGTATAGCAAGAGTGCTGGAAACATCCTCTGATATGGCTACAACACTTATAGGAACACCATACTACATGTCACCAGAACTCTTCTCTAATAAACCCTATAATCACAAGGTATTGTACTTAACATACCTGCCACTAATCTTGAAAAATGCGAGGAAAGAACTATTTGAAAGATAGAAGAGAGAATCGTTGGGTTGGTAGGGTAACAAAGAAAACAAATGCTTTGGCTTTAGCGAAAGTTCTTCTCACTAGCGACCAAAAAATCCATCTCTTTCAGTACATGTACTTTAGACTGCTGAGAGTCTATTTCTCTCTCATGATCTGACAGGGATTACACAGTGTACAATGTATGAGACATTTCTGACTAACTCCTTATCATCCATGGATATTGCCCTTTAAATTTGCGGTTTAACAGTACTTCAGCCTGTAATTTGAATTTCCTCAAAACTTTCACAATACAGAATCCACTACATGTACTGTAGTCCAACAAGAAAAGGCACTAGACTAAGCTAATTTGAACAGGACTGTCTTTGCACACCGGTTGGATTGCATTCTTCCTCTTGCATTCTCATATTGCATGGTTATTGTTAAATAGTCTCTGTTGTGCATCTTTTCGAAATCATAGTGCATAACATGAACAGGTAATTTGCTGTTTTTTTTTTCTCCTGCTCACTTGTTCAGTCTGACATGTGGGCTTTAGGTTGCTGTTTGTATGAAATGTGTACACTGAGACATGCTTTCAATGCAAAGGATATGAGTTCTTTGGTTTACAAGATTCTTAAAGGAAAGGTATATGAATATAAATATCCCGTACTGATTTTAGTATGATAATTAAATCACTAAAACAACAAAACCTTCAAAAACTACAGTCGAACCTCGANTTAACCGGGTTCTACAAGAATATATAGAAGAAAGTAGCCATGAATATCCTAAAGTTCTGTACATTGTACATCTTCACTGTGTTTATTTATTATTTTAACAGATCTACAGATGGTAAACATCGGCCTTCGAGTGCTTGCTCGTCCACAGGCAACCATGCTTCCTGATATGTACAGAAAGTTGGGATTGGACTTTGATGAAAGAGTTCTACCCTCCATTATGAATGAGGTACGTGTACAAATACATGAACGTGTATGAATAGAAACTTTTTTCAAGACCAAAGGACATGTTGCTTTTAAATTACCATTTTACCTTTTACACATGTGTTGTTCTGGTAAGCGTGCTCAACCACAAATCAAGCGATCTGCTTTCAGTCCCTGGCTGGGGTCACTGTGTCATGTTCTTTTCACTCACACTGCTTCTCTCTACCCAGGTGTACAGTACCGGTAAAAGAGATTGCAGCACCTACACACACGTAAAATGGGTGTAGTCTGAGTGTAGTATTCGTGGACAGTGCGTGGACAGTGTGTGTAATTACACGCGTGTAAAATTTACTGATCTGTTAGTTACACGTATTTGCATGTAATTTTACGTAAATGCGTGTACAGTCTAACCTCAATTATCCGGACTTGTCGGGACCTCGGTAAATAGTCCGGATAATCGAGAGTCCGGATAATCGAAAACATGTTTATTAATGAGATAGAAATGTAAACAAAAGGTATACAGCAAAGAAAACATCATTTTAATTGTGAAATCTACACAGTCTGTATGTATTTACAAATAAAAACCTTCCGTTCAGGTATTTACAAAGATCTAAAATGTTCAAGCATGTTTGTTTGCTTCAAAGACTTGTACATGTAGCTTGATCAGGGACTTTCATTTTAATCCTTCGCTTGTCTCGATGCTGTCAGTAAATTTTAGGATCTTGTCTTTGTTCTTCCGTATGTCAGAGATCTG